GCGGGAACCGAACCCGGGTCTCTCAGGACTGCAGGTCGACGCTCTAACCGCTGAGCCAAACCGACCAGGGCCATATATCTTCTTTAGTGAGGTGTCTGTTTAGATCTTTTGGTCATTTTTAATTGGGTTGTTTATTTGAAAATTAATGAGTTTTTAAGTTCTTTGACTATTTTAGATATGTCCTCTATTCGATATATATAATTCTCCCATTTTGTGGCTTATCTTTTAACTGTTTTATTTACTGTGTCTTTCACAGAGAAAGGTATTGATTTTAATAAAGTCCAATATATTTCTTTTTCTTTCATGCATCTTCTTTTGGTGTTGTATTTAAAATGTCATCACCAAATCCAAGGTTACCTAGATTTTATTCTATGTTATCATGTAGAAGTTTTACAGTTTTGTGTTTTACATTTAGGCCTATGATTCATTTAAATTTTTTGTGAAAGGTTTAAGTTCTCTGTCTAGATCCTTCCTTCCTGCCTTCCTGACTCCCTGCTTTCCTTCCCTTTTTTTGCATGTAAATTTTAAGTTACTCCAGAACCATTTGATAAAAAGACTATCCTCATCCTGATCTAAAAGGTGACATAGGAGCCTCCTGAACTCATCTTCTCCCATGGATACACTGAATCTACAGCTACACATGGAGAAATTCCCTCTGAAAGAAATACAGGAACTCGCTGAGTGACTCCTACACATTGGGCAAATAAGAAAATATCCACACCACCCACATTGAAATAGGTAGGAAAAGCTGAGACACACTCTCACCATAAACACCACCCCCAGCACAGTGCCATAAAATCGAGAAGGTGCTGCCCGGCCAGTGTGGCTCAGTGGTTGAGCATCAACCCTTGTACCAAGAGGTCGCCGGTTCGATTCCCGGTCAGGGCACATGCCCAGGTTGTGGGCCAAATACTCCGTTAGAGGCATGCAGGAGGTGGCCAATCAATGTTCTCTCTCCCTCTCCCCTTCCTCTCTCTCTAAAAATCAATAAAGGAAAATTTTTTTTTAATTGGGAAGGAGCTTCCAACTCACAACTTCTTCCTGAGAAGCAAAGGGTTTGGAACTGACATCTAGTACTCACAACAGAGGAATGGGCCCCCTGAACACCAACCTCTGAAAGCTAATGTGGCCTGTATCCAGAAGACCCATACCACTATCATAAACAAAAAAACATTTCCTAATGGACACTAATCCCCAGAGCCCCCCATGGCTATAACCCCCAGAGCTCAGTACAGAAGCAGTAAAAATAGCACAGAGGTAACAGGCAAAAATTGCCCCTCTCAGCACCATTTTCCTGAAAGAGGCCTATTTGCATACTTTAAGAGATACTGCCTGAGAGTAAGGTCCCTAAATTTGCAGGCATCTAGGGGCTGCTGCAATCCTCAGGAGATCAGGAAAGTCAGCAGACACCGCCTCTACCTTCTCACTCAAGCCTGCTCCAGATTGTCAATGTCTCCCTGGAAGGAGCCTATACCTACACTGGTACCCCCAGCTTTTGCAGCTGCCGCCCAAAGGATGGCATTTAGATGCCCGACTTGGATAGCAGTGGGGCTTGCATTTGTGAGTCCCACAGGGCTAGTAAACAGAAACATTATGAACAAGCACAGGAGCAACCCCCACAGCTGTACAGTTTGGCCCAGCACACAGAAAGTAGGCAAAAAAGCCCATCTCTTAGTTTCTCCACAGAAGTGTCCTAACGACATTCTTTCTGGTACCTGAGGGTCCAGCTTCCAATCAGCCTGCATTTAGGTGCTGACTGCTCTACTCTCCTCCTCTGGGACGCTGACAGACCTTGGCATACCGTCAGCCACTGAGAGCCACGAAAAACAAAGGTGCTTGCATAATCGCAACGGTTTGAGAGACAACCAAAAGCTTAGATCTGGCTGAATAATAAGATTAACCTAGTTAATATGATTATAGACAAGGATATAGTTATAGAAAAGGCTCATCTAGTTAATATGGTTATTCATATGGTTAATAATAAATATAATTACATTGATTTGTTAATGAATATACAAGGTAAAAATATGTAAACTGTAATATCAAAACAAAATGTGGGCTTTAGTATGTGTTTAAGGTTAAGTCATCATCAAGTTAAAATGACCTCATATAAATGTAAGACATTTTATGTAAGCCTCATGGTAACCACAAAGCAAAAATGTATAGTAAATATATAAAGGATAAAAAGAAGGGAATCTAAGTTCACCAATAAAGAAAATAATCAAATCACAAAGAAAGAGCAAGAGAAGAAGAAAGGATCACAGGAACTACAAAGTAGCCAGAAAACAATTTAAAAAATGGCAATAAATGCATGCGTGTCAATAATTACTTTATATGTAAATAGATGGAGTTCTCTAATCAAAACATGAAGAATATCTGAATATATATATATATATATTTTAAAAGACCCATCTATATACTGTATACAAGAGATTCACTTCAGATGTAAGGGCATGTACAGACTGAAATTAAAGGGATGGAAAAAGACACTCCATGCAAATATTAGAAACCAAAAGAAAGCTGGGGTAGCTATACTTTTATCAGATAAAATAGACTTTAAGACAAAGACTATAGTAAGAAACAAACAAGGTTATTTTATAATGAAAAGGAATTAACCCAAGAAGAGAATATAACATTTGTAAATATTTATGCACCCAACATAAGATCACCTAAATACATAAAGCAAATATTAACAGACCTAAAGAAATAAATACATAGCAATACAATAACACTGGAGTACTTTAATACCCCAATATCAGCAATGAACAAATTATCCAGACAGAATATCTATTAAGAAGAGAAAAAAACATTGAACTTGAACTACATGCTATTCCAGATGGACTTAACAGACATTTATAAGACAACAACAGCAAAATATGTATTTTTCTCAAGTGCACATGTAACAATCTCCAGGATAGATCATATGTTAGACCACAAAACAAATGTTAATAAACTTAACAAGGCTGAAATCATATCAAACATCTTTCTAATCACAATGGCATGAAATTAGAAATCAATTTCAAGAAAAATGAAAACTTCACAAATCTGTGAAGATTAAACAATATGCTACTGAACAACCAATGGTTCATAAGAGAAATTAAAAAATACCATGAGATAAGTGAAAATGGAAATATAATGTACCAAAACCTATGGGATGAAGCAAAGGCAATTTTGCGAGAGAAGTTCATAGTAATAAATGCTTACATTAAGAAAAAAGGTGTCAAACAATGTTAACTTTATATCTCAAATAACTAAAAGAAGAAGAAACTAAGCCCAAAGTTAGTAGAAGGAAGAAAAAAAAGATCAGAGTGAAAATGAATGAAACAAAGGTAAATAAAATAGAAAAGAACAATGAAACAAAAAGCTGATTTTTTGAAATGGTAAACAAAATAGACAAAACTGTAGCTAGACTTGCCAAGAAAAAAAAAAAGAGAAATTATAAATGAAAAAGGAGACCTAACAACTGATACAACCAAAACATAAATGTTATAAGAAACTATGATAAACTATCATATGTCATCAAATTGTTTCATCCTTTCTTGCTTTCATCTGTCCCTCTTTTTCTGCCTTCTTGGGTTTTAATGCAGTATTTTACAAGATTCCATCTTTTCTCCTCTGTTAGCACAGCAATTACACTTCTTTTTTAAAATATCTGTGTTGTTTCTCTACAATTTTCAGTATACATTTACAAGTAATTTAAATCTATTTTCAAACAACACTATACTACTTTATGGGTAGTGCATTCCCAATTCCTCCCTCCACTTTCATAGGAATGCTGTCACTCATTTCATTATCTATAAACTATAATCACTGAACACCTTATTGCCATTATGATTTTTGGTAGAGTGCTGGCTGATCATATCAATCCATTTAGAGACCAAATTAACCCCTGGCTAGGCTACAGTACTTCAGAAAGGCCCCCGCTCCTCGGTCTCAGCCTTTCAGATCTACAGAGAACATGTGGTCACCGAAGTGCCTCTCCCTAGCACATTCCGACCTCCCAAGCACATTAATTTCTTATGTAAAGAGCATTACAATGTTTTTGAAATGTTTCTGTTTTGATTCTGCTTGATTCCAGCCTCTTAGCTTCCTAATTCAGCAAATGTACCCAGTGAAATCCTAGCAGAGTGTTATCTCATTTGTCCAGCTCTCTCTTCTCTCTAATTTTTGTCTCTTTCGACTCACAGGTCTGTCCAAAATTTATGCTGGTTCTTGTCATTTTATTAGATGTCTTTTGCCCAGATCCTTTGTCCAAACTCTGTTTTTTACCAATTAGCAAATATTCTGGTGGCAGGGGAGAGTGCTGCAGGAGGTTGTTCCTCCTCTCAAAGGTTTGCCTTTCACAGTATTTTGGCTTTTAAATTCTTAGTTGCCTAAGCAGCCTTTAAACAAATCTTTTAAAACTTGATTCAGCATTTGTAGTTATCCTCAGTGGGAGCATAGCTACTCCACTGTAGCTGGAAGTGCAAGTCTTATTTTCTTTACTGGTTTTACTCGTCCGGTTCTTTGCTTTCCAATTCCAGTTCTGTTTCCCTGTATTTAACATCGATCTCGGCCCAGTTCTTTGAATTTTTGCATGTTCAGCTTAAAGGAAACATTACTCATGCACACTTTCAGATGTACTTCCTTTCCATTCTTCGATGTCGTTAAGAAGGCAGACATACCAATGCAGGAACGCAAAGTGAGACTCACTTTGTACAGACAGTACTGTCTACATGTTGCTAGGCACTTCAATACAGAATTCTACTTGTAGGTTCGGAATGACTTCAATGAGTTTTTCCTTTGGTGCTTTATGAACGCATAAGCAATCATACAACAAGCTATCATCATATTTCTGCTCTTAAAATGAAAGGTAAAACTATGCTTTACAGTTCTTTTATATGCTCAATAATCCAAGAATGGTAAAGATATAAGAGTTGCAGGATAAATAATTATTAATTGACTAAGAAATACATGGTTAGGTTTGGATGTAAATATCTAATACACAAAATTATATTTACCCGCCATAATCTTCACTGATCCCAGCAAATGGTATTGCATCACAGTGTATAAAAATTGCAAATAAAACAAGTATAAGTGATATAGCAGATGTAATAATTATAAATCTCATAAGGCCTTTACAATACATATGTAACTTGGAAACAATGATACCTCCCAGAAACTGGCCAATGGCAGCTCCTGGAATTAAAACAAGTCCTAAAAGACAAAAGGAAGAAGGGAAAACACAGTTAAAAATAATCAACTAAATATAGTACAGAAAATTCATACATTGATAAAATCCCCTCTGCTCAGAGAGAGAAAATCTGAAGGCATGATAAACATTGCAACAAACCTGAACCTTAAGATTACTACAAATTTGTGAGTGGGGCTGGAGCTATAGCCCTAATGTACTTTAGGGCAAAGCTGGTAAATTTTGCTCCTATGTAGTAATGACATCTAAGATAAACCCCAAACTTAATCCATGCAAAATAGAAGACGAGAACTGTCTTACTGAGAGCTATTCTTGGATAACTGCCTAGATTTATGGTTTATAGCAAGAGGCAGGCCCATAGTGACAAGAGTTTACAGAGATTCGTTACCAAGAATTATACCATTGCTTCTGTGAATGCATGTGCAGTATCAACAAAGTGGGACTCCAGAATAGCCATTAGGAGACACAGTTCCTTTTCTGTGAAGCCTAAGGGATTAGAAAGAGGTAAGCACAAGAAGGAGGAAAAGGAGGAGGAGAAGTCTAGTTAGAAAATACTCAATCAGATTAAGCTAACATAGTAATTTCATACACTGATGTAATCTCCTCTGCACCAAACATAGAAATAGTAGATTCAAATAGGAAAATAGAAAAATAAATATAAGGTAAAAGCAAACCAAAAGTCCCATTAACACCAGATTAAATTTACATCATAGAATTGTCAGACAGACTTGTAAATGATGAATGCTCAGAGATACTGACAGTGTAATCTCCATAAAATCATAAGAAAAAGTAATGACAAATAAGATTAGGTGATTAAAAAAAAAGAACAAACAAGAAACATGGATATTTAAAAATAGAATTGTTAAAATAAAAACTCAAATCCCAGACTAGAGACATTTGAAAGTGAATCAAAAAATTGGAAGAAAGCATTGTGCTACTCATCTAGTATATAATGTTTAAAAAATGAGCAAACCAGAAATTGACCCAAGATAATATGATCAATTAATTAATATTTGACAAAGGTGGCAAGAACATACAGTGAAGTCAAGACAGCCTCTTTAATAAATGGTGTTGGGAAAATTGGACAGCTACATGCAAAAAAATGAAACTAGACTGCCAACTTACACCATACACAAGAATAAACTCAAAATGGATAAAAGACTTAAATGTGACTCGTAATTACATAAAAATCCTAGAAGAAAATACAGGCAATGAAATTTCAGACATATGCAGCAGAATTTTCACTGATACATCACCTAAGGCAAGAGAAACAAAGGAAAAATTGAACACATGGGACTACATCAAACTAAACAGCTTCTGCACAGCAAAAGAAACAATCATCAAAATGGAAAGGCAACCCACTGTATGGGACAGCATAATTGCCAATGATACATCAGATAAGAGGTTAATTTCCAAAATATATAGAGTGCTCATACAACTCAACAAAAGGAAGACAAAGAACCCAATTACAAAATGGGCAGAGGAGCTGAATAGACACCTCTCCAAACAGGACATACAAATGGCCAAGAGACATGTGAAGAAATGCTCAGCATCACTAATCATCAGAGAGATGCAAATTAAAACAACAATGAGGTATCACCTCACACCTGTCAGAATGGCCGCCATCAACAAATCATCAAACAACAAGTGTTGGTGAGGGTGTAGAAAAATGGGGACTCAAGTACACTGCTGGTGGGAATGCAGACTGGTGCAGCCACTATGGGAAACAATATGGTGATACCTCAAAGAGTTAACACCATATAGTGATCCCACTTCTAGGAAAATACCCTAAGAAGCCTGAAACACCAATCAGAAGAATATATGTATCCCTATGTTCATAGCAGCAGTATTTACAATAGCTTAGATCTGGAAACAGCACAAGTGTCCATCAGTAGACAAGTGGATAAAAAAGCAGTGGTACATATAAACAATGAAATACTATGCAGCGGTAAGAAAGAAAGATCTCTTATCCTTTGAGATAACATGGAGGGACCTGGAAAGTATTATCCTAAGTGAAACAAGCCAAGCAGAGAAAGACAAATATCACATGATTTCACTTATTTCTGGAATATAATGAACTAAACAAACTGATGAACAAAATAGACCCAGAGACATGGAAGTAGGGTACAGACTGACATTCCTCAGAAAGGGGAAGGGGAGAGGGAAGGGATATGCCCCAGAACTTATATGCATGTGTGTATAACCAATGGACATCAACAAAACTGGGGATGGGGTGGCAGGGGATAGGGAGGAGGGAGTCAATGAGGGGAAAAGGGAGAAACATCTGTAACAAAAATAAATTAATTTTTTAAAAAATGAGCAAAAGGAGAATAACAAAATAAGGAGTTAAAAGACAATGATACAGTGGGAAATTTTGATATACATGACCTCAGCAAGATGATGAAGGTTAAATTCAAAAGTAATGAGGTATGGTGATAGTATATACCCCTGATATAATGTGATAAAAATGGCACATTATGTCTGCAGTCTTCCTTTCAAAATCCACAACTCCGGTCTAATCATGAGAAAAACATTAGACAGTTTCCAGTTGAGGTACATTCTAAAAAATACCTGACAAGCACCCCTCAAAACTGTCAAGGTCATCAAAAACAAGAGAAGATGGAGAAGCTGTTATAACCAAGAGGAGCCTAAGGAGACATGAGAACTATCATAATGTGGTATTCGGAGTGAGATCCTGGAACAGAAAGAGGATATTATGCGAAAGCTAAGGACATCTAAACAAAATGTCAACTTTAGTGAGTAATAGTGTATTAACATTGGTTCATTAATTCTAACCAATATATCATACTAACGTAAAATATTAACAAAAGGGAACCTAGGTATACATATATAGAAATTCTGTACTCCCTTCAATTTCTTTCTGTAAACACAAAATAAGTCAAAAAATAAAGTTTGCTTTAAAAGACAGTGATATTAGGATAAGAAGTGCCACAAAATGGTTTACAGCAGTCATAACAAATATAATGCAAGGTATATTGGAAAAACAATATTTGAAAAATTGTAACAAAATGAGAATTTTCCATAATTGAAGAAATATTAGTCCTGGAAATAAAAGTACATTTCAACTACTGAGGAGTAAAAAAAATAAATAATTGAATCCATTTTGCACATGAAGAAATAAGCTAGGGAAATTTGTAAAATCAAGACTAAAATGAGTATTATAATAGCTGCCAGAAAGCATATTACTTGTAACAAAATTATAATTATAGCTAGTTTTTAAAAAGATAAAATTAATAACCTAGACCAAACACATAGGAACGTGCACACACATTCTCCTGAATAGCAGGGGTAGAGAATTGTCAGTTGGTAGTTGAAATCTCCTAAAACAAACAAGGGAGATAAAATGAATAAAAATGAGTCCATTGAGAGAAGATAGAATAGTAAGGGAAAAAAGAAGGATAATAAACAACAAAAATACAAATAATTTAAAAAATATTTAAATAAATTAGAATTCACAATACTAAATAAATAAAATTAAACTATTAAAAAGACATTATCAAATTGGATATTTTTAAAAAGTAAAGTTTGAAAATAAAGTCATGAAAACAAACATGTATCATGAAAATAGGTTATGGCAATGCATAATATAAATAATGTAAAAACTGCACAGATTCCAAGAAATTAAAAATACATAAACACTAGCAAAAGAAACAACCATCACAATGGAAAGGGAACTAACTGTGTGGGAGAGCATAATTGCCAATAATACATCAGATAAGGGGTTAATTTCCAATATATATAGAGTGCTCATACAACTCAACAAAAGGAAGACAAAGAACCCAATTATAAAATAGGCAGAGGAATCAAATAGACACCTCTCCAAATAGGACATACAAATGGCTAAGAGACATATGAAGAAATGCTCAACATCACTAGTCATCAGGGAAATGCAAATTAAAATAACGATGAGGTATCACACCTGCCAGAATGGCTGCTATCAATAAATCATCAAACAAGTGTTGGCGAGGGTGTGGAGAAAAGAGGACTCTAGTACACTGCTGGTGGGAATGCAGACTGATGCAGCCACTATGAAATACAGTATGGTGTCTCCTCAGAAAATTAAAAATTGAACTGCCATTTGACCCAGTGATCTCACTTCTAGGAATATACCCTAAGAAGCCTGAAACACCAATCAAAAGAATATATGTACCCCTACGTTCAGAGCAGCACTATTTACGATCGCCAAGATCTGGAAACAGCCCAAGTGTCCATCAGTAGATGAGTGGATAAAAAAGCAATGGTACATATACGTAGTGGAGTACTATGCAGCTGTAAGAAAGAAAAATCTCTTATCCTTTGAGACAACATGGTGGAACCTCAAGAGTATTATGCTAAGTGAAATAAGCCAGTCAGAGAAAGACAAATACCACACGCTCTCACTTATTTGTGGAATATAATAAACAAGGTGGGCTGATGAACAAAATAAACCCAGAGACATAGAAAGGAATATTGTTCAGACTGACAAACCTCAGAGTAGGAGGGCAGGGGGAATGGATGAGATGAAGCAAAGAACTTATATGCATGTATGCATAATCAATGGACATAGAAAACAATACTAGAGGGGTTGGGTGGGCGGGATGGAGAGGAGGGGGTCTAGGGGGAAGAGAAACATCTGTAACAATAAATTAACAATCTTATTAAAAAAACCATAAACAAAGTAGTATTTTAACTCCGCTTTCTCAAAACAGACTTAGCTATTAAAGATATTGGGAATATTGATTTGAATAGTTATTTTAAAAGAGAAACAAAAGCATAAATTTAGCAACTAAAAATCTCTTCTCAGTAATTCCTGGGTTAAATAAGAACGTGATGATGAAAATTAAAAATACTTAGAACTGAACAATAATAAAATTATATTTGAATGTATGAGATGATACTAAAGAAAATTTGTAAATAATGACACCTCCATTATAAGGTTGTTAGAAGATTTAAGTGACTTAATATATAAGTGCTTAGAACATTATCTAGTCACAGAGTAAACATT